AAACCACCTGTTACCTGGAGGCTCAGATAGTGAGAAGTAGCTCTGATGAGCCCTCTGCCTGCAGTTCCAGGTCTGGGGCTCTCACCTGGACATCAATCATATGACCTTGCTCACAGGGACTGCTTTTCTCAAATATTCTTTGATGTTCTTTTTTAGCTTCTTCTTTTATTTTTTTGAGGGTAGAATCCAAGGTCTTGTACATGCTAGGCAAGTGCTCTACCACTGAGCTACATACCTGACCTCTATTTCGACTTCTTAATGTGACTTCCTGTGATCCATTTTGTAATCCCAGTAAGAACTCTTACTTGCTAGTTTCTACCAGTGTCTTCTCTAGAGTGGAACCAATGTCTAAGGTTGTCTGCTCCAACTCTAGGAATCCCACTGTATACCTTGGGCCTGTTTTACGTGTTTCTAAGAGAGCTCTGATGTCACTGCTGGTTGGGACTGGACCAACTTTTGTTCTTTTGGGCCTAATTATCTGGACTCCTGGTTGGCCCTTCTATTAAGGGGAGTTTCCCACATCCCTGACTTGGAAAGTGTATCCCTCACCAGCTGGTGACAATAATTTGGCTTTCCACAGTTTGACTAAAGTATCTTTATTTTTCACTATATTCTCTCAAATGGCAACCACATTTCTGTGATTTTACTATTGACTCTAAACAACACAAAACAGATGTGAGGATGATCCTATTCCAAGAGGTGTCCGCTGTGTTCCAGCCCCAGGCTGTCTGGTACTTTCCTTTCTCACCTTGCACGTAGTACTACGTAAAGCTTCACATTCTGGCAAGAGAGAGGAAAACTGATTTGTCTCATTTTTATCTAGGCTCCAGGTTTCAATTCCATTTCCAATTACCTAGGGATTCTGCAGATACCTTAAACTTAGTAAACTACCTAAAATAAAATGAATAATTTTTAATTCTTTAAAACTAATTCCTCCTGCCCTTCTGTTATCTATTATTGGGTATACCATTCTCCCAAGTCCTTTGAATCAAACCTTAGCATCAACTTTGAATCAGCCCACTTCTTCTGAGTTGTCTACTTGACCTACTACTGCAATGGTTTCTTAGTCTTTTTCTCCTTCTCTTCCTTTCTCATACATTTACTAAGTATCAGGCACCAGCCATCCAAAGACTGCACCTCAGCTTTTTATGGTGCTAACTGGGAAGAAAGTGGCCTAAAAATACATGAAGCTGTTTGTCGGCTGACTACTGGGCTCAGGAAAGGTGAAGAATGGGGGAGGGGTAGTTCTTTTCCCAGGGAAGAGCCAGACAGGCTATAGACGAGTGAGCTTGAACCACAGCTTGAGAAGGAAATATGTCTGGCAAGAAGCAGCACAAGCCCATGTGGGGCAACAACAAGGTTTGGAGGTGTGGAGCTGTGTGGTGGGGGAATGTCAAAGGGGGTTGCAGGCTGAAGCCTGGAGAGAAAGAATACAGAGAAGCAGGGAGTGGCCAGTTAATGGCAGTCCTTTAAGGACTGTTGATGGGTTTGGGTGGATCCTGTGGGCAGGGCTTGTTGAAGGACAGGATCAGAGATCATAACAATCACACTTCTTTAAATGAGAAAGGTCACTGTGGACAATGTAGATGGACAGTAGAGGAGCCCTGAGAGACCTGGAGCAAGGTGCTCAGATAGTATGCCCAGACACTATCTAGGTAAGACAAAGTGAGTAAGAAGGGAAGAGATATAACAGAGGTACTAATGCAATAGCCAATAAAGATTGATCTGACAAATGATGGGATGTGGAGGAGCATGAAAAGGGAAGAACTAAGAGTGGCTCTGAAACTTCAGACTTGAGTACAATGATAGATGGGGGTGCAGGGCTCATGAAAGAAAAAGGAAGTTTGGGTGAAAGATACTCATTTCTTTTTTAAAATATTTTTTTTAGTTGTAGTTGGACACATATGTTTATTTTATTTACTTATTTCTATGTGGTGCTGAGGATCCAACCCAGGGCCCTGCACGTGCTAGGTGAGCACTCTACTGCTGAGCCACAACCTCAGACTGAAAGATACTAATTTCTACTTTGAGAATGCTGAATTTGGGGATGTACATGGGATACAATCAAATGAAAACATAAAGTAGTTGGAAATACAATCTCTGGGTTCTAGATAAGTGCTATTCAATAAAACTTTCTGTGATGAAGAAAACACTCTGTAGAACTGTGCTGTCTATTATGATAGCCACTAGCTGCATGTAGCTACTGAGCACTGAAATGTAGTAATGTGGGTAAGAAACCGGATTTTCCTTAAGTGACATTTCAGTAGTCACATATGCCCAGAGGCTATGGTAGTAGACAGTGCAATCCTAGGAAAAAACCCAGGCCATAAAAACTGATTCAGGTCTTCAGTATGTATATGTTATCTAGTTGCCCCTCTAGATATGAAAGGTTTATGAAGAAAGCTGCAATTACCTTCAGAAATAGATAATAGAATGAGGCAAAGGGAAAATAGAGGTAGGAAGGGAGACCAGAGCAGAGCTGTTTAGCACACCAACAGCTCAACATGAAACTACTGTATGAAATGTGAGCCCTAAATCTTTTGAAGCCAGAGGAAATTGTTAGTGTGGCAGAGACAATGGCAGAGCAGGAGTGAGCAACACTATTCAGGAAGGGCTTGTCAGGTGAGAAGCCAGTTAAAGACTGAGGGCTGGGAGCCCAAGCAATTTTTTTTTTTTTTTGCAATAAATTATCACTTGAATTTATTTATTTATTTATTTATTTTTGATTCAACATTTCATTTATTGCTTGTCTTTTGCTGTTTTTTTTTTGTTTTGCTTTGTTTTTTTTTTAATTTTTTTTATTGGTTGTTCACAACATTACAAAGCTCTTGACATATCATATTTCATACATTAGATTGAAGTGAGTTATGAACTCCCAATTTTACCCCAAAACTGTGGAACCAACCCAGATGCCCTTCAATAGATGAATGGATAAAAAAAATGTGGCATCTATACACAATGGAGTACTATGCAGCAATAAAAAATGACAAAATCATAGAATTTGCAGGGAAATGGATGGCACTAGAGCAGATTATGCTTAGTGAAGCTAGTCAATCCCTAAAAAACAAATACCAAATGTCTTCTTTAATATAATGAGAGCAACTATGAACAGAGCAAGGAGGAAGAGCAGGAAGAAAAGACTAACATTAAACAGAGTCATGAGATGGGAGGGAAAGGAAGAGTAAAGGGAAATTGCATGGAAATGAAGGGAGACCCTCATTGCTATACAAAATTACATATAAGAGGTTGTGAGGGGAATGGGAAAATAAACAAGGAGAGTAATGAATTACAGTAGATGGGGTAGAGAGAGAAGATGGGAGGGGAGGGGAGGGGGGATAGTAGGGGATAGGAAAGGTAGCAGAATACAACAATTACTAATTGGGCATTATGTAAAATTGTGGATGTGTAACCAAGCAATTTTTAATGGATAAGAGGTCAGATAAGACTCAGAAGGACATCCCAGAAAAGCAAGAGTAAGCTCAACTTGGTCAAAGCAAACCAAGAATTGTTTAGGAGTCTGGCAACTAGGAGGGACGGTGGTCCTAAGGTTTGAAGAATAAGTGTGATTTGATGAAATAAAGATAGGAAGTATAATCAATTCTTTTGGGCTATGAAGGAAATATGAGAATGAGGGTGGTAGCTGAAAGGTGAAGAACTCCTTCCTAAGCACAAGTAACAATCATGTCACTCACCTGCTCTTTGACACAATATCTCCAGGGTCTGCAATTAAGTCCTATCATTGGAGGTCCTACAATTCATCATCTCCTGTGATTTCCCTTCACATAACCTGTGGCCCACCCAAACCAGCCTGAACAGATCACTCAATAATAACAAAAATCTGTCAATATTGACCAAAAAGCTTGAGTGAGAAAATAAATGTCCAGAATTTGAAGAAGGGATCAGCCAGACCTACCCCCTAACCTTTTAATAAAAGATCAATGGCTAGGGATATAGTTCAGTAGTAGAACTCTTGCCTAGCAAACACAAGGTCTGGGTTCGTGTCCCAGTAACACAACATAAAAATAAAAAATAGATCAGCAGACCTGTAATTAAGAGATCACAAAGACTTGGCAAAGTTACTAGGGATAAAAAATATACTATTATTTATTATTTTAAATTTAGTGCTGGCTTTAAGTGCTAGAGTACTGCTTGCTTTCTGTCATGTTCGCTCTCTCAATAGTACTGGATTGCACTCTGTGATTATTCTAAGAGTTTCCTCTATCAATTTAGTGACAAAACTGACCTTGTCCTTTACCATGTATTTCCCTCTCTGAACACAATGATCAGCAAAGGCAGGACTGTTGACTGTGACAAAGTGCCCTGCCCTGGTACTACCACTATAGTGGTTCTCAAACATTGGTGTATCTATAAAACATAACAGGGCTTAGGCCAGTACATTTTCACTGATACCTGAATGATTCTGATACCCTCCAAAGTTTAGGGACAACTGTAATGACATCTTTTGTCTTGCGCTAGCATAGGACTTCCCTATACCTCATTGCTCATGGTTACGAAATTAACTCCCTCTTACCCTCATTTGGGGAGCCTGTCCAAATCTCTCACTTTGGGGTATAAGTAGGATAAAATAGAGAAAACAATTTGGAAAGCAGAATCAAGATCTCTACATTCAAGACCTTCTGTCTTCCCAGGGAGAATCTCATTCTATAAACAAACCTCAAAACTCCCCTGGTAGCTCCATGAGGCCTGCCTGGTTTCCAGGTCCAAGAAGAGAAAGGGAAGCTACCTGTAACATTTAAAACCAGGAGCTATGAGTTTCCAAGTCCTCTGAAAAGGTCTGTTAATTACATCTAATATAAGATTCCATCTCCTAAACACTTTCATTGCAGTACAGGCACTCTAGGTTCCTTTACTTATGCTCAGGTTTTAGCAGTAAAAAAAAAAAAAAAAAAAAAAAAAAAACCGTAAAAAGAATAGGCAAGCTGCTCTTTTCAGTCCAGCCTTTGCATGAGATCACACCAAAACTCTGAGCACCTGCATACCTTTCTTGTTCTTCCTTCTCCAATCGTTCTTGCTCCTCCTGTTCCTTCTGCAGCCGAGCCTGTCTTCTCTTCTCAGCTAGGATCTTTGCAGCCTCTCCTGCATCAGTGGTGCCTGCTGTAGGCTTCCCCAAGGCTATATCAAAGAAGAGATGGCAAAAGGAATAGATCAAGGGAAATGAACATAATGATTCCATTCACATAGCAGATGCCACTTGGACATGAAAAATCTAATACCGTGTGGTGATGGGAAATGCTACCAGAAGAGTGTTACAATTATCCACTAAGCAGGAGAAGGACTATGACCCTGGATACATATATTCTACAGTGGAGGACAGTGGACAGCTGAGCAGGAGAGACAGGACCATAAGCAAGTCATGAACTCATTGCAACACAGAGGCTTTAAGAACTCTCATGGAGCATGCTGATTATGGCTAGGTACAGCCTGTATTCCTTAGGATTCCTGTGGGCTTCCAGAACCAATAGCAGGGTTAGCCTCTAGGTCTCCTCTTCCAGGGAACCCTCAGGACCCTCAGTCTCCTGAGGGGCAAGACTTAGGAGCAATGGGCAAGTCTGAAAAAATGGTATGAGATGAAGTTGTCCCAGTGGGAAAAAAACCCTCTCCTGCAAACACAAGAGAATGACATATAGATCAGGTCAGAGGGACAACTACCTAGGCCCAGGGGCAGTGTCAACAAAGAAGGTCTACCTGTATTGCTCTCAACCTTCCCTCCTGTGGCAGCATATTTCTCAGTGGCATGCTTGTCCTCCACATGCTTCTCGGTGGCGTGCTTATCTACCACGTGCTTCTCAGTGGCCTGTTTGTCTGCCATATGCTTTTCGGTGGCATGCTTCTCTGCCACATGCTTCTCTGTAGCATGTTTGTCTGTCACATACTTCTCTGGAGTTTCCTCTCCAAGATGGCCAGCAGCCTGACTTGAGGCACCTTCCTTTTCCTTGTTGCTCTTCTCTTTCTCTGCTTTCTTCTTGGGTGTTTCTTGGTTGGGAATGGGGGAAAAGCGGTACTTCACAGGAGACCCTGGGTATGATGGCTTCACTGTCTTTGGAGACTGAGGATACACTTTTGAAGTTGTCCTGGAAAACCAAAAGCAAGCTATAAGATAATTTACTGGGCCTGACCACAGAACTCAGTTCCTAATTTAGTCAATTCCACAAAGTTGAATAATTCCATTTTTCTAGGGGAACAAATGTAGGGCTTTAGCACACACTCAAAAGTATCAATAGTATTTTCCCCTTACAGAAATATATGGTATTTATACCACGGCCCTGGTGAAATGGAAATATTTCCACTTTTTATTGGTGAGAAGGGAAGTATTTTAAGGAACCCAGCTGATATCTTAATCTCACTTATGTCTGATGACAATGTAGGGATGGTGATATGGTTTGGATACCATTTATCTCCCAAAGGTTCATTTGCAAGAAGACTGGTCCTGATATAACTGTATTGAGAGGTCGTGGTAATTTAAAAGGTGGGACTTAGTGGGAGGTAGTTAGGTTATGGAGGCACTGCCTTCAAAAATGGATTAATGTCTTTCTTAAGAAACTGAGTTAGTTCTCTTAATGGATTAAGTTTCTTTTTTTTTTAATTTTCTTTTTTTAAGAGAGAGTGAGAGAGGAGAGAGAGAATTTTTAATATATATATATATATATTTTATTTTTTAGTTTTCGGCGGACACAACATCTTTGTTGGTATGTGGTGCTGAGGATCGAACCCTGGCCGCACGCATGCCAGGCGAGCGCGCTACCGCTTGAGCCCCAGCCCTGGATTAAGTTTCTTTGCAGTGTGTTATATCTCTCAGAACTGGATTATTTACCATGAGAATGGGTGGGCTGTTAAAAAATGGGTTAGCCTCCCCTCTGTCTCACTGATACACATGGTCTTCCACATATGCCCATTTCCTTTGTACTTTTCTGCCATGAGATGATAAAGCATGAGGGCCTTATCAGAAGACTAACAGATGCTGGTATCATGATCTTGAACTTCCCTGACTCCAAAACTGTGAGCCTAAACAAACCTCTTTTCTTATCACAACAGAAAATTGACTTAAATAGATGGATTGATAGGCATTTTCTCATTCCTATTTTCAGATGAACACCACAGTTGGATCTGGCTTTGGCATATAACAATGAACAAGATGGCTCCATTTTTAATATTTATTTATTTATTTATTTTTAGTTGTAGTTGGACACAACACCTTTATTTCACTTGTTTATTTTTGTATGTGGTGCTAAGGATCGAACCCAGGGTCTCGCACATGCAAGGTGAGCACTCTACCGCTGAGCCACAACCTCAGCCCCAAGATGGCTCCATTTTTAAAATCACGACAAAATATATATAACATAAAATTAACCATCTCAACTGTTTTTAAGTATATAGTTAAGTATATTCACATGTTGTACAACCATCACCCCAAACACTTCCATTAAATGATCCCACATTCTCCTCCCCCAGTCCCTGGCAACCACCATTTTACTTTCTGTCTCTATGAAATTGCCTATTCCAGCCCTGGCCACTTGTCCACACAGGTCCTCTGGGTGCCTGAGCAGGACCACTGGCATTAGCACCTGTACAGGACTCCTGGCCGCCAACCCATGCAGGAATCCTGGTTGCTGTCCAACACAGGAACTCAGGCCGCCACTCCCATGTGTACCCCCATCTACCAACGTGGGGCTCCTCTGGTTGCTTCCATCATGGGGCACTGCAACTACTGCCACAGTCCCCTACACACAGTAGCCTGCACCTGGGACACTGCACTGGGTCTGGAGACAGCTGCTAGCTACAATAATGCATGCCATAGAGCTGTACACCATGCCACCATCCGGCCTCACCTGACCTCCAGACACTCCATTGCTGAGAGCAGCTGCCTCCATCTTGGGACACCTTCGTCACCATCTTTAGTTGGGGCAGCTCCCAGCTTAGAACACTGGCTAGGGCTTAGAAGCATTATCCAGGTACCGAGAGTCCCCAACTCCCCGCTCTCCTCGGCAGCTGCTAACACGGCACAGTGCCTGCGGCTATGTGTCCAGTCTATAGCCCACAAAACTGGGTCACAAAACCAGGTCCTGAGCTGCCCAATATAAAACAGCTTTCCACAACAGGTGGGAAGCTCCCAGAACACAGCCCACAAGACCTCTGGAGAGAAAGGTTCCTGATTGGGAAATAGAAAGGGACGGGGTGAGTGAGATACAGTTTAGAGACTACATTAGAGACCAAGAATTGTGAGGTCTACAGGCAATATAAGAAGATAAGACCAGGCACCCACACCACACAAGCAGGGCCCCAAAGGAGATCCCTAGACCAATCCTCCAACCATAATAACCTTCACCATCCTGAGGGTAGAGATACCAGCAAACAACAGACAACCCCACCTATTGGATGAGAAGGGAAGCTGGAAAGATACTGATCTCCAACAAAACAATTCTTGTTATCTTCCTTCGAGATTTTTTTCTCTCTCTTCTACCACCATTATATCCAACATATATGAAACCAAGTACTTTTCATAAATTAGGCTACCGAGGACTAGGATGTCTGAATAATATATTACAGTGGTGTTGTATATTCATTTATCTCCTATTTTTACTTTTCTTAATATATATTTTTGTTTTATGTACTCTATTGTCTTCCCACTTACTTGTCTGCCCCAAATCACTTTCTCTCTCTTCTCCTTCTACTAATCAACTTCTTCCCCCCCAGTTCTTTGTCCACCATCAGAAACTGTAGACCCTTTTGCAAACCTACTGCTCATATTGTAGTTAATAATTGAACTTACCGTTCAATATGATTCAAAACTATATATGTCCCAATAGCAGATATTTGGTTTAAGATTATATATTGTTTGTATTGGGATCTGTTCTCCTCCTTAAAGGAGAGTTATTAGAAATCTGCAGGGACACTATAAGCCTACAGAGTAAAAACTGTAACTCCTGGGATCTACACTTCTAGATGGGAAGACACAAACAACATAAAAAAACAAGGGAAGAAAATGCCCCCAACAAACCAAGATATTACATCATTAGAATCCATGGCCAATATAACAGAAGAAATGACAGAGAAGGAGTTCAGGATGTGCATAATTAAAATGTTCTGTGAATTATACGAGAGCAAATACAGGCAGCAAAAGATCATTTTGATAAAGAGCTACATAAGCAAATACAGGAAGCAAAAGATTACTTCAATAAGGAGATAGAGGTTCTGAAAAAAAACCCAGAAATCCTTGAAATAAAAAAATCAAATTAAAATCTCAAAAGAAAGTATCACCAACAGATTAGATCACTTTAAGGACAGGACCTTAGACAATGAAGACAAAATATATAATCTTAAAAATAATATTGATCACACAGTGAAGATGGTAAGAAATCAAAAGCAGAATATTCAAGAATTATGGGATAACATAAAAAGACCAAATTTAAGAATTACTGGGATAGAGGAAGGCATAGAGTTCCAAACCAAAGGAATGAACAATCTATTCAATTAAATAACATCAGAAATTTTTCCAAACATGAAGACTGCATTGGAAAAATCAAATACAAGAGGCTTACAGGACACCAAAGGTACAAAATCACAACATATCCACACCAAGGCACATTATAATGAAAATGCCTAGCATATAGGAGAGAATTTTAAAAGCCATAAGAGAAAGGAATCAGATTACATTTAGGAGGAAACCAATTAGGATATACGCAGATTTTTTAACCCAGACCCTGAAAGCTAGAAGATCCTGGAACAACATATACCAAGCTCTGAAAGAAAATGGATGCCAACCAAGAATCTTATATCCAGCAAAATTAAGCTTAATATTTGATGATGAGATAAAAACCTTCCATGATAAACAATAGTTAAAAGAATTTACAACTAGGAAGCCTGCACTACAGAACATCCTTAGCAAAATATTCCATGAGGAGGAAACAAAAAACAACAATGAAAATCAGTAGAGGGAGGTATTACACTAAAGCAAAGAACAATCAAAGGAGAAACAAAGTTAAATTAAATACCAAAAATAAACAAATATGACCCAGAATACAAATCATGTCTCAATAATAACCCTGAATGTTAAAGGCCTAAACTCACCGATTAAAAGACATAGACTGACAGATTGGATTTTTTAAAAAAAGACCCAACAATATGCTGCCTTCAAGAGACTTCATCTCATAGGAAAAAAAAAATCCACAGACCGAAGGTGAAAGGTTGGGGAAAAAACATGCCACTCACATGGACTGCAGAAACAAGCAGTGGTTTCCATCCTCATATCAAATAAAGTAGACTTCAAGCCAATGTTAATCAAAAGAGATAAAGAAGGACATTTCATACTGCTTAAGAAAACCATATATCAACAAGACATAACAATTATAAATATGTATGCCCCCAATAATGGAGCATCTACGTTCATCAAACAAATTCTTCTCAAGTTCAAACAGACCACAACACAATAATTATGGGTGACTTTAACACACCTCTTTCACCACTGGATAGATCTTCCAAACAAAAGCCAAACAAAGAAACTATAGAACTAAATAATAAAATCAATAACTTACAGACTTAACAGACATATATAGAATATATAGAATATTTAATCTATGTATAGAATATTTAATCTATCAATGAGTGAATACACTTTCTTCTCAGCAGCACATGGATCCTTCTCTAAAATAGACCATATATTATTCCACAAAGCAAATATTCTTAGAAAATACAAAAAAGTAGAGAGACTACCCTGTATTCTATCATATTATAATGGAATGAAATTAGAAATCATGATAAAATAAAAAGTAGAAGCTGCTGCAACACCTGGAGACTAAATAATATGCTACTGAATGAGCAATAGGTTGCAAAAGACATCAAAGAGGAGATTAAAAAATTCTTAGAGGTAAATGAGAACACTGATACAACATATCAAAATCTCTGGGACATTGTGAAGCCAGTAGAAAGAGGAAAGTTCATTGCATGGAGTTCATCCCTTAAAAGAAGAAAAAGTCAACAAATGAATGACCTAACATTACATCTCAAGGCCCCAGAAAAAGAAGAACAAATTAGCAGCAAAAGCAGTAGAAGACAGGAAATAATTAAAATCAGAGCT